TGCACATGGTTCGCGTTAACCTATACCTTCTACGACACGGTACTTCACGCGATAAGCTTAACTTTAACACAACAACTCTATTCCTCCAATCCCCAAATTATCTGCAGTTTTTGTTTCCTTCTGTCGCGTTCCTGGGGGATTCAATTTACAAGCACATTGAATGCATAAAATCACTACACTTCGCACTATACAATTCAGTAGTCCTCCTCTAGAGTATAGTCACCATAACATAATGTCAACATTGGGAAATATTTAGAAGGTTGAACCAAAATTCTTAAAATACGTTATCTGATGGTGCACAGCAGAAAATTCAATACCCTATCAATTACCATGTAATAATTTTATACATATTATTTAATATTTCTTCATTTAAAACAAGGTATAAAAATTACAAACATCGCGGTAATTATTATATGGGTAGAAGGTACATTTTCTTTTAGGGTAATGAGGGTAAATTTTTTAGAACAAATTTTCATTGTGACACAAGCTTACTGTCCTTTCCATCGCACGAATGAATGCTTTGATTAAATTAGTCATTTTGATGTACATTGCAACCCATTTACATTTCGAGGCACCTCTGTAAACTGCGTATTTTTCACAAAATGTTTTTTGTAATTATTAAAAAAAAAGGCATTTTATTGTGATTATTGGATTGGAAAAGAATATTAAATGTAATTATGCTTATTAAAGGATCAATAATATCAAACGCACATATTTGTAGGTACCTGGAAACCAATTCATAAAATGTATATTATGTCATTGTCCCACAAATTGTATGTAACGTCTTACCTCTCAATCTCAGGGTCGTGAAAAACAAACGCATTAATTAATTAAATTCGTAATTTAATAGTGAGGTAAGACAATGCCGAGGCTAGCTCATTAACAATCAAGAAGGGTTAATAAAGTAGGGAAAAAAAATACTAAATCAAAGCCAAGTTGGAAGGCGGTGAAGGGCACCTCGGTCAGTCCCGGAAGGTGGTAGGTAGGCGCCACGTGATTCGAAAAAGGTAAACTTATCAACCCGAGGAAATAAACAAGTGAATCACGAACAATAATTTATTTCCTCCAACCTGGTGGTAGGTATGAGTGTCAAATCTCACCTTCAAGTTTTGGCGGTGCAAAAGAATGTAAGACACTATAATTTAAGACTATAAGTTCCGCAAACCGTTTTTGAAGAGAACAAGCCACTTAAGCTACCCAAACCTCAAGCTGTCCCGAACGTTACGCAGCTGTCTGTCACTATCCCGGGAACCAAGCCAAGATGGAATGGTGGCTCAATGGGACAGCCGCAGGTGGGCAGTCCCAGTTAACCCAGCAAAGTCCGTCCGGAAAGTCCGCTGCTCGATAGGGGAAACTCCACAACTGTACCCAAGAGACAGCATACACTGCAAGACACCAAGTCTGGTCTGGTATTCCGGTGAAAGAAGAAACCACGTGGAAGGTTTGCGGGAAACGGAGCAACAATACGTACAATACTAATTAAAAAAAAAAACCTCGATTCGAGGGTTTTCTAGAAATGTGGGGCAATGACAATTCTTTTCAAAATCCCTCGTTGAGGAAGATTCCCATTCCAAACTCCAAATAGATCCAAAAGTATGGGAAATCATAAATTAGTGACCAATTTACATATCCCCCTCTTATTGGGGTAGCACTATCGGCTCAAAAAGAAATCGGTCACACAAAAGAAAACCTGCCACACAACCCCAGCTTCAAAAGCTAGCGTACAAAATGCCGGACAATTCAGACAACCAGTTTTATTAAAAGGCTAAACGGGCACAAAAAAATTAGAGGGAAAACGCCACTTATGCCAACCTAGTCGACGGTACGCCGCCAGTAGAACGAACAATCGAACTATATCTGTGGTGATGGCCTTATGGCCCGTGCCAAAGAATCGAGGTTGCGTCAACGAGATCGAACTACCCGAACGCTATCTATGGTGGCGACCGGACGGCCAGTCACATAAAATCGAGAAAGAATAGGTTAAGAAACAAAACAATGTTTACTAGGCTCGCCAAGGGATACCGAAGCAATGAAAAGCAAATGTGGTCCCCAGTCTCATAGGGTGACAGATGGTAATGGTTATGACTCCTTCTAATTCGCAACTAATACTCTGTTTTTTGCATTAGTATCTCTCAGTAAACCGGTGTCACTTAAGAGAAAACCAAGCGAACAAGGGGCCACGCACACAACCGTTGCAGCATAAAATATTTATGGTTCGGCAACACAATTGGCCGGGGAGTACAAGTCCGAAACTAAAGAAACCGAGTCTACAAAAGAACGTGTGTTCAAATCGCAAAATCGATATGAACCTAATAAACAAGAATTTTAATTGTTAAGAAGCACTCGCCAAACAGCAAAAGGTGAAGGAAATGGACAGTACAATTAATTCTGCAAGGTACTAACAAAATAAACCCGTTACTTCGCAAATGTGCCAGCACTTGTACTTTAAAAATGCTAAATTTTACCATTGAAATATGAAACCGTCACAAACGTATAATTGGAGATTTCTTACTACCACAAAACAGATTGTAATAGTTCCGATGTCTTGTTTTGATTAAACAAATCTTGAAGAACACATATAGTTTCTATAACTCTAAAATTCTAAATTTGCCATATCTTCTTTAATGGGAAAGATATTGTCATTTTGTAAATTGTTATTCATTGTAACTTCTTAACAGCACTTAATAGAACTAAAATGTTCGATTATTCAAGACTTTCATCTGCTTCAGAATCTTAAATATAGACCTAATATATACATAACCCTTTTATTTGCGTTTATTTCGAGATACTTTATCTCAAAAAATATGACCTTTCAAATTCTTAGTAACACGGTCATGGTATGGTTTTGTGAATATAAAATGAATGATTCGATGTGTTCAACGAAAGTGTGATAAATAGTTATGAAAATATATTATGGTAGCAATAAAGCTATTTATACTGGAAAATGGTAATTTGTGGCTATGTATTATTATAACATACATTTACAATAATTAATAAACATAATTATAAAAATATTTAATAATAAACAACAATTTTATTATAAGTGTAGGGTAAAAGTGGGATAGATGCCCCACTTTTTGTAAGCTGACTATAACTTTTTTTTTAAAGCACTATTCGAGTGAGTTAACTATTTGTAACAACTATAATCCTTATACTTACTATCTACTCATATCATCATTCAATGCATACCGTAGATTTGTAGATATTTATCTCTAAAAAAAACTTATTGTTTGAGGATAGACGCCTACTGTATGGGGTAGTTGCCCATGGCAAAATTTCGACATGACTATAGATGCCCTACAATGGGATAGATGCCTCCGTAATAAAGAAAAAAATTCGTAGAAAATTTTTTTCTTATCCAAATATACCGTAAAACTAAAGTAAATGGCACTTTTATAGGAACAAATGGCTCAGTCTTTCAATCATTCTTTGGGTAAACTTAGCAACTTAACAACGTCTATTAAAAATTATTTAAAATTTTACCGAACTAAATTTAGGAATAATAAAACTTAAAACAAATCAATCCCTTAGGACTTCTTTGGACAAAAAACAAAGCTTCCTTCTTAAAAAAAACTAACAGTAATCAAAATTTTCAAATAATCAACAAATATAGAGATACTGTTTAAGATTACTTATTCTTTGAATTCACTTTGGCCAGGTTAGCTTTTAGAGCTGCAAGCTTCTTCTTGTGTCCACATCTATTATAGTAATCGCCATATAGAGTGCAATCTTGGTGTAATCAGAGTTTACACATCAGGCACTCAATCCAGTCCGCCGTGGACTTGGTACTTGCATAGTCATCGAAACATTCTCTGCATTGAGTATTTTCTTTATCAGATTTAGTCTGGTCGGAATCTGATTCATCGAACTCTTGTTCACTTTCAGAGCTAAACCTCGGTCTTTTCTTTTTAGGAACTGATTTTTGGTTGTTTTTTCTAGGTTTGTCTGGTGTTCGCTTGTTAGCTTTATCTTTCAACTTAGCTTTCTTAGAGTTAATATGTTCTTCTGAATTTAAAACGGCAGCACCTTGCTTGCCTCTTTTGTACAATGGAACAGGAATTTTCGGGATAGGTGAACATTCGTTAAGATATTTACTTGGAGTTTTCCCAAAAGCTTTGCAAAGGGCTTCTTCAGACCAAGCAGCACGAACGGGTGCCCCTATTTTCCTGTTATATTTTCGCGGCATTTTGACTAAAATAAAAAATGAAATTTGGTGATACGCTGCATTATTTTTTACAAGTACAGTGAAGTACGGACATGTAAAGTTATAAACGGCTCATAAATAAACTGGAAAGTCAATTTTCCTACTAAGTTGCATATTAACTAAATAGGTTATTTAAAAAAAACTTACCTATAGCCTAAGTACCTGTGAATAAGTCATAGAGGATATATGCCTCTAAGGGCGTCTATACTCAGTTAATAGTGGGGCCTCTATGCTTTTTAGTAGGAATAGACGCCCCAGCAAATAAATAAAATTACTTAAATAATTTCATAATTTTATAAACACACCATAAATATAAATGATACATACTATTCAAATAACAATACACACTTAAAACTTACCTTCGAAAACGAAAGTTCTGAACGCGTCAAAATGTCACTGTCACAAGAATCATGCAAGCGCGGTAAAATTTTGCAAGGTTTTTTTAACTCAGGCGGCGACACGTGCAGTCCTGTCGAAACGCGTGCGCAGACTGTGCTGTGCGGTGCGAGGTTTGTCCGAGGAACTTGGTACTAGAGCGTCAACTTGGTTTTAAATTCTCTGTTTTTAAGGGGCGGCGTCTATCCCACTTTTACCCTAACAGAGAGCATGAAATAGTAATAAAACACGACCGGGCCGTATTACCAAAAATTTTAATGGTACTACATATAATATTATATATCCTTTCTGTTAAAAAGTACCAATGAAAAAATGTTTAAATAATCTTTCATATTAAGATATGGAAAATATCAACTGTGACACAATGTATAAATATCGAGTAAATAAAATGAATACTTACTTTTAACGCCACCTAGCTAAATATTTCGGCAACCGCAACCCCGTCGCTCCCGTCTAAAAAATTGAAAAAAAAAACATGTTATTTTAAACTTGCGCAACTTCATTTCGCGCGAGTTATAGTTCAGTTTCGCGAAATTTGCTTGCCACATTTCAAGCGAAAATTTCCACCATTACGGACGGTGGCCGTAAATTGCGAAAATAGCAATTTTGCACGGGTCTCGGGGGCCGTTTTACGCCGTCTGGCCCAAGTTTCCACTATCGGTGGATTAAAAATCTCGAATTTATGTAGTCTAAAACTTACCCCCCCCCAACTTTGAAGAGAGCCGTTTACACAAGAACCGCGATCACATTAAAAAAAGGTGGTTTAAATATACAACAAAATATACAAACGTCATACGAATTATGGAGGATGATGTGTTTAGAAGGCACAAGGAGTTTGTTTAGTCTGGTTTTAAAGTTTAGGGTGTCGATATTATAATAACACGCAACTGCCTTCGTACTTTGAAGGAACGCGACGAAACACGTCCTGGAAAATCCTAATAAAAACAACCGATGATATGAGATTTATTAACTTTAGAGATAAGATAACAGGCGTCATATATTGAAAGGTGCCGATGCAAAGCTAATCCGTCGGAATATTATGCATTATGATTGATGCGCAATGGTTCGTTTAAGACCAGGATCGCTAATCTTCTACTCTAGTTGATTTAATCTATTTTAACCTTAAACATTTATTTTTATTCACTTTTTAATCACAACCCTCGTGATAAATTCCAATACTCCAAATTCTGAAATTAATCAAAATTTTAGGTTTATTTTTTCAAATAAACATCCACCGACATCGTAACCCTAAAAGCAGATAAAGGAAATGCTACGATGGTTATGAACATAAATGAACAACAGGAAAAGATTCAAGACATTCTTACAGAACGCAACCTTACATCTGTTATTAAGGCGTCTTCACTATCAGAAGAAAAATCTGTCAGCACCATTGGTTCTCCAATATATTCTATAGCTAGTTTCCCTATTAAAACCCTTTACAGGGAAAACTGATAATTTCCTAATTAATACCTTTCACTTTATTGAACAATTAAAAAGCACAGGATATTCTGGTTAGTTTGGACGTAGAATGACTCTTTAGGGTCCTATTACTGGAACCAAACCTTCTCACCTTAATTGAACATATTTTTCTTATAACGATCAAATTTTTGAACAAACGTCTTGAACAGCTATGGGTTCTCCGCTATTACTAGTCAGCGTGAATATATTTATGGAAGAATTTGAGAAGAAAGCTCTGGACACCTTCCATCTAAAACCAAAATTACGGAAACGCTACTTGGATGATACTTTCGTTATTTGGCCTCATAGCTAAGAATTCCTAGTACATTTTCTTAGACATTTAAACTCTATACACCCTAACATACGTTTTACCATTGAATTAGAAACTATTAATAACCTCCCACTCTTAGATATTCTTATCAATAGAAAATCAGACCTAACATTGGGTCATTGTATTTACAGGAAACCTACGCACACAGACCGATACCTTAATGCATTGCCACATCACCATCCGGCCAAAAATCATTAGTTATCAATTCTCTTGTTTACATAGCCGTAAGACTATCTCAGTCCGAGTCACTGAACGCAGAATTAAAAGACCTTACTACTGCTCTTCTTTCTAATAATTTCCACATTAAAGATATTAAGCATTCCATCAGAAAATACACTTTACCATAACCTTCCAACAGCAATGAGGCTGAAAACAATCCTACACTTGCCACTGCTGTCCTTCCTTACATTCAAAACATCACTGACTGCATATCAAAAGTTCTAAAGAAATATAACGCCACAATTAGATTTACCACTTGTCCAAAAAAATGGCAAAGAATACAATACAGGCTCAAGGAACACGAAAGAGCCTCAAGACTAAGACAAATAAACTCATCAGCAGTTACCGAACACAATCACGAATCAATTCTACTACCAACGAAAAATCGGAGAGTTTATAGAAATGCAATTTGGAAACCAGTCATCCGAGGCGGTGTTAAGCTTTGCCCCCTTCAAACAATATATAAGCAGGTAGCTTTGAAGAAGCCAACAGGATGATTCATGATTGATTCGACTCAGCAAAACCGACGAAGGAGGAATCCAGAAGTTTTGTAAAAAGTGTTTTAGGGTTATATTTGGACTCGTATTGGGAAGTATAATTGCAGTATTGTTAAGCAGTATATAACCTTACAACATTTTAAATTCATCTATTAAAAAATATAAAATTTACCTAATTGCTAATAAAGAAGAAAAACAAAGGTGATTAAAAAAACAGGAAAAAATATCTAATCATTTAGAATAACGATTACTTAAATTATAAGTTTCATACCCAAATGAGAGCGTCGTGTTAATGTGTTGTAAATTGAGAATGCAGGTAAAATAAAAAGTTCGATGCAGTTGAAATAAATGATTGTTTAGTTAATAGCTTTATTGCACCTGGCACAAGTATATAAAGAATCGCACTCTTAGTGTGGAACAAGTTTGAGCAGTTTTTAGGCCTTCTCGAAAAACAAATTTAAGAGTCCGCCTTCCCAATTTGGTAACTTTCCAGGAGTAAAGATCTAAAATGAAAACAAAATGTATGACAAATTTTCCATATCCATAACCCTTCTCGGTTCAAATTAGTTCAAAGATAACACATAACTTTCCCAGAAATTCAAAATTTATGCTACGATGAAGTGATAGTACTTTGAAAGTTTAATATCGCTAATAATGATGAATTCAGTGGTCAGGTGTTAAAAATAGTTTAATGTTGCAAATTGACATAAGCTTCCTAGAAGTTTTATGCTCCAAAACTATGTTGTGATAGTCGCAAATATTGTCTAGGATTAATATCAAACTGTCGATAACAAGATTTGCTTTCTTTATTTTTGATTTTACTTCAACCATCGGCAACCTCAAACGGGAACAGTATTCAATAACTGATTTCGTAACGAATCTCGTCCAAAGTGAAAAAGAAGAAAATTACTCTCCCAACGTCGTCCATCTTTTAAAGTGGGGGGAGCCGCGATATTTACATTCGAAATATTAGTTCCAATTACATCGCGAAATATACATCCGATCCCCCACCGAAATATTCCCCAAACATTCGCCAACATCCGCCTCATTATTATGCGCGAAACCTCCTCAATAATTTCGAAATAAAACGAGAAGCATACACTTTCCCGGCATTCCTTTGATGGGATTTGGTATTCAAATCGCCCGGTCTCCACCTGAAAGGCATTTCCCTTCGATCGAAGGGGAAGCCTAATATTTAAAGTAACGTAATCTACTTTTACAAAAGGTCTTATTAACCCTGCGCGGTTCAACGTACCTTGCCTGGTGAATAGTTTTTTTTTATGTAGGCCTTAGTCCCGCGTCGAATGTATTTCAAAATGTAACTTGATCCGGTTATGCAAAATTGTATATATTGTATAGTAAAGTGACTCCCTACCAACAGGTTTTAGAATCAAATAGTCTACAACACTAGTTTTGGTTACTCTTGGTTAGGTAGAATGTTCTATCATTCGTTGATTTTCTGTGGGATTTGGATTATCTTGTTTCATAGGGTGAAAAGAAAGATTGAACACCTAGTTCACTACAAATCAACTAAAACAACTGTCGAAATAGGCTGACTAGCTCGGTGGTCAAGGTGGACAAGATTTCTAACTTTTCCTAAAATCATTTAAAGTCATTTACTTCCACTAAGTGCTAGAAAAGTGCACTAACAGTTTTGCCCTTGATGCTAAAAGCAAGTAGCTTGACATTCGCAAAAAGTGAAATATCTGATGGTAATATTATTTTTACACTAATAAAGAAAAAGGAGAACTATGATCTATGTCAGTGGTACTTTCCATAACGTCTCTATATCTTACACTCACAACAGTCTTCAAATCTTTATGGTGTAGCTGTTAAACAGCAAGAAACAAAATTATATGATGAAGCATATATTCTGGTGTTAGGTATTAATTGTACATAGCTATAGTGCATTAATGGGTACCGTGATGCTATTTTAATTTTGAGTTATGGGAATTGAGGGCAACGAGATTTATACTTTCTAGAGAATAAAAAAGAACTACTTAGTTACTTATTAGTTACTTACTAGTTAGCCATAGACATGAAATGTAAACTATGCAATTTTCGGGACAGTTCAGCAGATGCGACCAGTTTCGTTTAATTGGTCTAATGAGTAAAAGTTGGAAATTGTTCTTCAAACATTCGACAAAAATGTGAACAAGATATGAACGAACAGCAAGCAGGGATTTCGTGAGGGAATAGGAAGCAGAGAAGCCTTTTTTGCACTGTCAGTATTTCTGGAGAAGCGTTGAGCATTCTTAAAAGTAGCGGCCTAAACTCCCAACATTTTAAAATTAATTTATTTACCTTTGTAAATGGTAGGCCGATGTCATAGTCATGGTCATCGATAGCTCTGAAGGCCTACAAAGACTGTCAGATAAGATATTCACCGTAAGCGACTCGATGGGCTTTAAGATAATAAGAAAAAAGAAAAAGGTTATGGTAATAAATCCAAACCAACGCACGAACACAACTGAAGATGAATAGCAAGAGTCTCGAAGTTCAGATATCCGGACGTAGAAATAGGAGCAAGTACGGAAATAGCAAGAACAAATTTCCTAAAGATGCGAAACCTACTCTGCGAGAACTTCTCACTTCTTTACGGTGTTGAGTCACGGACATTCAAAGTAAGTACAACGAATAAGCTGAAAGCTTTTGAGATGTGGGAGTATGGACTGATCATGTTTAAAATTTGGGACTTCTAGATCGAGTGAACAAGAACGCGAGCTGCTCGATACAATAAAGAAAAGAAAAACAGCGCATCTCGGTCAGCTTCATTTTCTTCAACTCATAATGGAAGGTAAGATGCTCTTGGCTGAAGAACACCAGAGACTGGCCACACACATTTAAGGCAGGCACAAAATAGAGAAGATTTGCCATAATTGTTGTCTATCGTCTTTAATCTTCTTCAAGAAGATTTGAATACAGGAAACTGATAGGGGCTGGAGATA